AACAACCGAGCCTCTCCCGGTTCAAACCAGCCAACTGGCGATCGGCATCGCCTTCCGTATAATGCCTCATATGGAGCCATCTGAATGCTCGACTGGTAGCTATTATTATAAGCAAACTCCGCAAGTGGCAAGAACTGATCCCAAGAACCTCCAAAGTCTATAACACAAGCGCGAAGCATATCTTCCAATATCTGAATAGTGCACTCTGACTGTCCGTATGTCTGTGGATGAAATGTTGTACTCAACTCAACCCGCATGCCTAACTCACGTTGTACAGCACTCCAAAAGTGTGAGGTAAACTGCGTACCTCGATCTGAAATAATAGACACGGGTACACCATGAAGGCGGACAATCTCACGAATGTAAATTTCAGCTAACCTCTCTGAAGAATAGGTAACTGCCACTGGAATGAAATGTGCTGACTTGGTCAACCTGTCCATAATGACCCAAACTGCGTCAAATTTTCTCTGAGTCTGTGGAAGCCCGACAATAAAATCCATAGTGATACGCTCCCACTTCCACTCAGGAATTTCTAACTTCTGAAGCAAACCACCAGGTCTCTGATGCTCGTACTTGACTTGCTGACAATTTAGACACCGAGCTACATATGTAACTATATTCTTCTTCATTCTCCTCCACCAATAATGTTGCAGCAAATCTTGATACATTTTGGCGGCACCTAGATGAATAGAATACCTGGAACTGTGTGCCTCTTCAAGAATTAATTCACGAAGCCCGTCAACATTAGGCACATAAATACGACCCTGCATTCGCAGAACTACATCTTCCCCCACAACAACCTGTTTGGCATCACCGTGCCGCACCGTGTCCTTAAGGATAAGTAAATGAGGATCATCATATTGCTGCTCTCTGATGCGCTCATATAAAGAAGACCGAGTGACTGTGCAAGCTAGAACCCGACTAGGTTCTGAAACATCTAACCTCACGAACTGATTGGCCAAAGTCTGGACATATACAACTAACAGTCTCTCACCAACCGAAATATAAGCAAGGCTGCCCATACTCACAGCCTTTCTACTCAAATATCGGCCACCACATTAGCCTTTCCTGGGTGATACAAAATGGTGATATCATAGTCTTTCAACAACTCCAACCATCTTCTCTGCCTCAAATTAAGATCTTTTTGTTTAAACAGATACTGAAGGCTACGATGATTAGTAAATACCTCACACGAGACACCATAAAGGTAATGCCTCCAAATCTTCAGCGCATGAACAATGGCTGCCAATTCTAAGTCATGAACAAGATAATTCTTCTAGTGAACTTTCAACTGCCGCGACGCATATGCAATCACCCTGCCATCTTGCATCAATACTGCACCAAGCCTAATACGAGATGCATCACAATGTACCGTATAAGATGTGGGTAATACCAATACTGGCGCCGTAGTCAAAGCAGTTTTGAGCTTTCAAAAGCTCAACTCACACTGATCTGACCATCCAAATGGAATACCTTTGTAGGTCAGTCTGGTTAATGGGCTTGTTATAGATGAAAACCTCTCCACGAACCGACGATAATAACCTGCCAAACCTAAAAAACTCCGGATCTTTGTAACTGAAGTAGGTCTAGGCCAATTCTGAACAACCTCAATCTTCTTAGGATCCACTTTTATGCCTTCTGCCGATACAACATGCCCCAAAAAGGCAACTGAGTTTAACCAAAACTCGCATTTTGAAAATTTAGCATATAGCTGATTATTCTTCAAAGTCTGAAGCACACTCTGAAGATGTTGTCATGCTCCTCTCGACTGCTGGAGTAAATCAAGGTATCATCAATGAATACAACCACAAAAGAATCCAAATAGGGCTTGAACACCCGATTCATCAATTCCTTAAATGTTGCTGGGGCATTGGTCAACCCAAATGGCATCACTAGGAATTAGTAATGCACATACCGAGTCTGAAAAGCCGTCTTAGGGACATCAGATGCCCTAATCTTCAACTGATGGTAACCAGACCTCAAGTCGATCTTTGAAAACACCTTGGCGCCCTGAAGCTGATCGAATTAGTCATCAATTCATGGCAGTGGATACTCGTTTTGATAGTAGCCTTGTTCAATTGCCGATAATCTATACACATCGCATTGAACCATCTTTCTTCTTTACAAATAACACTGGTGCACCCTAGGGCGGGACACTAGGTCTAATGAATCCCTGATCAAGCAAGTCTTGTAACTGCTCCTTCAATTCTTTCAACTCCGACGGGGCCATACGGTATAGTGGGATAGAAATGGGCTGAGTGCCCGGAGCTAAATCAATACAGAAGTCAATATCTCCGTCGGGTGGAATCCCCAACAGATCTGCAGGAAATATATCTAGAAATTCACATACAATTGGAACTGAATCTATAGAAGGAACATCCACACTAAAATCGCGAATATGAGCCAAATAGGCTAGACAACCTTTCTCGACTATACGTCGAGCCTTCATATAAGAAATAACCCTGCTGGAAGAATGACAAGGAGATCCTTTCCACTCTAATCGAGGTAACCCCGGCATGGCTAAGGTCACCGTTTTGGCGTGATAATCCAATATAGCATGATAAGGTGACAGCCAATCCATACCCAAGATTACATCAAAATCTACCATATCAAGAAGTAGAAGATCCACACTAGTCTCAAGACTCCTAATAGTAATCACACATGAGCGATAGATATGATTTACCATGATAGAATCTCCCACCGGAGTGGAAACATACAGGAGCACTCAGAGAATCACGAGGCATCACCAGATATGAAGCAAACTAAGAGAACACATAGGAATAAGTAGATCCTCGATCAAATAGAACTAAAGCATCTCTATGGAAAACTGAAACAATACTTGTAATCACAACATTGGATGATTCGGCCTTAGGACTTGCTGGAAAAGCATAAAATCAGGGTTGGGCCCCATCAGTCTGAACTATGTCTCTGGGACGGCCTCTAACTGGTTGGCCTCCACCTCTAACGGCCTGACCTCCACCTCCAGCTGCCTGACCCCTGCCTCTAACTGGATGAGCAGGCAGTGAAGCAACCCGTGTCGGTATGATGGCACGAGAATCCTGCCGAGATCCGTTACTCGACAACCTAGGGCAATACCTCCTAATGTGACCAATGTTCCCACACTCATAACACCCATCCTGCTGCCGTGGCTACTAAAGTTGAAGCTGACCCGAACGGGCCGGATAGCCGCTATAGTGACTTTGGAGTGGTGGTGCACTGATAAGAGCTGAATGTGCACTAAATACTGGCTGCCCGGAGTAAGGCATAATAGGACTGTAACTCCCTGAAGCACCGTGAGAAGCCTAGAGTGCTGAATGAAACTACATGGGAGGATGGCCCCTACCAAAATTACCCCTGCCTTCAGACGAGGCACCACTAAACCCACCGAACTGACGAGGCCTCTTATCAGACCCCTGCCCTCTCTCCTGTGCAAGAACCATCTCGATCCTTCTTGCGACATTAGCAGCCGCCTGAAAGAAAATCTCACTTCTGGTCTCCTTGGCCATCTGAAGCCTGATAGGGTGAGTGAGTCCCTCAATATACCTCATCACTCTCTCTCCCTCAGTATGTAGTAAAAGGAGAGCATGATGAGCTAAATCCACAAAACGGGACTCATACTGAGTAACAGTCATACTGCCCTGCTGTAGACGCTCAAATTGCCTGCGGTAATCCTCTCTCAATGTGATAGGGATGAACTTCTCCAGAAATAGCCGTGAGAACTGTTCCTGAATCAATGCAGGCAATCCAACTGGTCTGGTCGATGTATAATCTCTCCACCACCTCTTGGCGGAACCCGTCATTTAAAATACCGCAAAATCGACTCCATTGGTCTCAACTATACCCATGTTCCGCAGCACCTCATGGCAGCGGTCAAGATAATCTTGTGGGTCCTCAGAAGGTGTACTACTGAAGTGAACTGGAAAGAGCTTAGTAAACTTATCCAGTCTCAATAAGGCCTCAGAAGACATGACGGGCCTATCACAGGCCTGTGCCGCAACCACTGGCTGAACTACCCCAATTGGCGGGGCTGCTAGAGCCTGATACTAGGGAGTCATCTGCTCCAGAGCTGGAGTAGTGGGAGTCTGTGCTCCTCCCCCAGTCCGTGAGACGGCTGGTGCCACTGGAATTGTACCATTCTGGGCTACGCCCTCTATAAGACTCACCAAACAGATTAGGGCATTCTGAAGTACTGGAGTAGCTATGAGTACTTTCAGGACCTGAACTGGTCCAACCGGTACAGTCTGAACTGGAACCTCCTCCTGAAGATCCACCTGAGGTTCTACAACAGGCGCTGCTGCTCGAGCTCTAGACTGAGCTCTACCTCTGCCTCTGCCTCTAGCGCGACCTTGGCCTCGACCTCTACCCCTGGCCATAGTTGCCACTAAGGGCTCTTGTCCCTGTTCGTCGGTAGATATATTACGTGTTCTCACCATCTGTGAGAGAATAAGAATAGAATGGTTCAATCATCGATGATAGAATAAAATCGCATGACAGAATAAGAAAGAAGTGATATTGTTCCTAAACTTTATAGCCCCTGAAAGATAAGTACAGACGTCTCCGTACCGATCCTTCAGACTCTACTAAGCTTGCTCGTGACTCGTGAGACCTATGTAACCTAGTGCTCTGATACCAACTTGTCACGACCCGAAATTCTCACTTTCGGGGCCGTGATGGCGCCTAATATTTTACTTGCTAGGCAAGTCAACATTAGAATATAATTAGCCATTTTAATAAAATTTTAAATTAATTTATAACAAAGAAACAAATGCGGAAATAAAGTCTGAAATAAAGTGAATAATTCATAATAAACGCGATATCTAAATACCATCCCAGAACTGGAGTCACAAGTGCACGAGCTTCCAGAATAAGACAAATAAGGGTCTGAATAAAATAAAGTTGTCTGAAAGAAAGCACACAGCTAAAATAAAGTAGACGGAGACTTCTGAACTGCGGACGTTGTGCAGTTATACCTCCAGTCTCCTCCGGGTAGCTGAAATCCGAGCAAGTCTATGGTACGCCGGTGGGACCAACTCCGAAATCTGTACAAAAAGTGCAGAGTGTAGTATGAGTACAACCGACCACATGTACTCTGTAAGTGCCGAGCCTAACCTCGACGAAATAGTGACGAGGCTAAGGCAGGTCGCTTACATTTACCTGTACACAATAATAATAATAATAATAATAATAATAATAATAATAATAATAATAATAATAATAATAATAATAATAATAATAATAATAATAGGAATAGTAGTAAGACCGGTAAATAATATCAATAATTGAAGTCAATTCAGCAGTTTTAATCCCTCAACTTGTTTCCATTGCGGCGTAAAAACCCGCTCCAACAATATAAACTTAAAATAAATCTGTTACGGCGTGCAACCCGATCTCCCAATATAAACTTTAAATAAACCTGTTGCGGCGTGCAACCCGATCCCCCAATATAAACTTTAAATAAATCTGTTGCGGCATGCAACCCGTTTCCCCCATATATTTTAACAACTCTTAAATGTAACAAAAATACTGCAAAAAAATACACACGTTCAGTGAGAAACTATTAAGCATCAAGGCATACAGTAATTATAATTTATTTATGAAATCAACAATGACAAGTAGCAATTAATTGTAAAAATCGGGGAAAAAATAGGCAGTTTAATATTTAATAGGCTAAATGTCAAGTAGCAATTAAAACACATAAATCAAATAAGCATGTAACAATTATTAGAGGAATTCAAGCATTAATATTTGACAAGGAATAGGAGAGAAGCGATTATTATATCAATTAATTCGTGTCTTAAAATAATTTAAGATGTTTAAATAATTAAGCAAATAATTAATTTGACAAAGTATAGGCACTCATCACCTTGCCTATACATCGTTACAAATGAAATTCACATAACAAATAATTAAGGGGTTCTATTCCCTCAAGTCAAGGTTAACCACGACACTTACCTCGATTTGCAACCAACTCAGGATTCCAATAAATCTTTGCCTCGCGAATTCGTGTCCGAAATCCTCAAATCTAGTAATAAACAATTCAATATACTCAATACAAATCGTAGAAATTGATTCCATATGAATTTACTAATTTTTCAAATTAAAATCCGAAATTTATTTTAAAAATAACAGTGGGATCCACGTCTCGAATCCCGAAAAAACTCACAAAATCCGAACACACGTTCCGATACGAGTTCAACCATACAAAAATTATCGAATTCCGACATCGGATTGGCTTTCAAATCTTCATTTTATATTTTTGGAAGATTTTATAAAAATCTATTTTATTTTTGCATAAATTTACGGATTCATGATGTAAATGAGTATGGAATTATGAAATATAATAAATATAGGATAAAGAACACTTATCCCAATATTTTCCCGTAAAAATCGCCCAAAACTCGCCTTACCCGAGCTCAAAATCTTGAAAAATGAAAAATGGGACGAAATCCCATTTCTGCTGTCCAGGAATTTCTTCTTCGCGAACGCGAGGGCAGTCTCGCGAACGCGATGCCTTGCCAAACTTGGCATTCGCGAATGCGGTCTCCCCTACGCGAACGCGAAGCCTTATCGCCTGGTGCCCGGCCAGGCCCCGCCTTTCTACGTGAACGCGAACGCTCCCATGCGTTCGCTATGTACACTGCCCTCTACCCCTTCGCAAACGCGGTCCCCTCTTCGCGAACGCGAAGAGTAAATTTTGCCTGCCTCCAGTTCCTCTTCGCGAACGCGAAACCCCTATCGCGAACGCGAAGAAGGAAACCAGTCAGTGCATCAGAAAAATTCCAGTAAAGTTCCAAGCCCAAAATTCAACCCGTTAACCATCTGAAACTCACCCGAGGCCCCCGAGACCTCAACCAAATACACCACCAAATCCTAAAATATCATACGAACTTAGTCGAAACCTCAAATCACATCCAACAACGCTAAAACCACAAATCATACCACAATTCAAGCTTAAGGAACTTAAAAATTTTCAACTTCTACATTCGATGCCGAAACCTATCAAATCAAGTCCGATTGACCTTAAATTTTGCATACAAGTCATAAATAACATAACGAACCTATTTCAATTTCCGGAATCGGATTCCCAGCCCAATATCAAAAAGTCAACTCCGTGGTCAAACTTGAAAATCTTTAGCCTTTAAATTTTTAGTTTCCGTTAAATGGTCATAACTTGAGCTAGGGACCTCCAAATTAAACTTCGGGCATACGTCCAAGTCCTAAATCACGAGACGGACCTATCGGAACTGTCAAAACACTGATCCGGGTCAGTTTGCTAAAAATGTTGACCAAAGTCAACTTAATTGAGTTTTAAGACTCTATTTCATATTTTAATCATTTTTTCATATAAAAACTTTCCGAAAAATTATACGGGTTGCGCACGCAAGTCGGGGAATAATGCATAGTGCTTGTTCGAGGTCTTAGATCACATAAATAATTATTAAATTTAAAGATGACATTTTGGGTTATCACAGTTTCTATCCCCATGGGTCATGAAAAAAGTAAATATTTTTTATTTGCCTAAGCGTTAATAGGCGGAATAATACGATAAATGTATCATAATAATGCAGGTATCCAATAGAATAGGTTAGATTTGCAGCCATTCTATGTCTAATGGGGATATGATTAAGAAAAGGGGAAAAAGACAAGGAAATAAACAACAAAAAGCAAGAACATTGTACTTCATCTTATAAGAAAAAAGTTTGTTTTGGTACTAAATTGGCTCTATGTGAACTTAACCAGTCAAAGTTAAATCCCTAATCAGTGCAAGTTTTGAAAAATTAAGGTACTTGTACGTATTCTGTGTTTTTAATTAAATAATTAGAGAAATAGAAAATAAATGCTTGAAATTGCTTCGACCAAATTTAAAAGTCAAACTACAATATAAATTGTACTAATACTTACCACAACTTCTTTTGTTTGCGTACGTCGAGAAAGCCCACTTCTCTTGTCCTTTTGTTTAGTACTCCTACTATTTTAGACCAAATATGGTATATTCAGAAACTTTATTTATTTCACTTTTTTTTTCGCTTCTCTGGAAAATGATAAACAAAATGCAACAATAATAACAGATCAAAGATAATCGTCGTTTTGAAAAGAGAACACACCATGATGTGCTTCTAGGTAATCCTCACGTAGGCGCTTTGACGATGGAGTAATGTTGTTGTTCTCTATACTCTGCTATTTTGATTCAAAAACGGTTAATAAATATGACAGAGACAATGAGTTTAAATTATATATATCATTGGTATATGATTTTTTTTTTTTTTTGCACTATTATGTCATTAATATGATATGTAAACTTTCTTAAACGGATTTGTAATCTTATAAATAAGCGAGATTATGTATTACAACGGATAAATATTGTAAAAGTTTCTTATACAGATAATATAACCTTTTTGAATATCCAATATTTCCCTCTTGAACTATCTTTATATTTATTCTTCAGAAATAATGTGGTGAGGGTGCAAAAATGGAAAAAATGCTAGTTAAATACCTTGTGAGCGCAATAAGATGATGAACCATTTGAAGAAATCCCATAAAGAGGAGCTCTCTCTTGAAAGTTGTTGTTCAAGTGGGGTTGAAAAGGAGAGTTTGCATCACCTGCCCAATTTCATCGCTTAACTTTGTTACCCACTCTAATAGATTTATCCTCCTTGACAACATTAAGATAAAAAGGATACTCTAAAAGTACCGAAAGGAAAAGAAATAGAAAAAGGAAAATCTGAGCAATTTCTTTACCTGAAGGTACTGGTAGGGCTAAGGTATGGGTACACATTATCCTCGATCTTCAGACCCCACTTATAAAATTTTACTGAATATGTTATTATTGTTATACTATCAATGTTTCAACAAGAGATTCTAGTAGTTATATAATTAATTGAGGGCGTTCTTTAAGGAAGTAAGATAAGCATAAATATTATCTCCCTAATTATTGTACATAATTAAACTTAGAAAAATTATAATCTCCTCTCATCCTGTACATTTACTAGGATATTTCATTTATTCACATAACGGTGTGGTTTAGTTCAACTGAGACTAAAAATATTTTCCTTAAACCTTGGTGAGCGAGTTATTAGAACTTTGTGCTGATAAAAGATACAGTTAGTCAATGAAACAATCAAGCGTGCACAAGTTGAACAAATAAGGTCTTTATAAAAGAGTTTCATTTTCATTACTTTAAACATTATCTAATAATCACTTGATCACAAACATTTAATAATCTAACCCACACTTTTACCACAGAGAAAGGAAGCTCTACCTGTTTCTTCTGCTTGTGTATTCAGTCTCACCCATTCATCAACAATATCCTTCCATCTCCTGTAAAAATAGTCAATATTTCACTTAAATACATTTACATGAAAAATACTACTCCTATTATGCATTCAGAGGGGGGAAAATTAGAAGTTTTAAGAAGAAGGAAAGAAACCTGATAAGTAGTTTAACAAGTCTTCTTACTTCATTTGATGAATGCTTCCGCAGTCTATTTACATGTCTTCCAACATCTGTTATCTTCAAAACAAGCAAACTTTTAGTTAATTAAGAGGAAATGCTAGTTCAAATTAATTAATACCATCTTCGATTACCTCAAGAACCTTGAAATTAATGTCCATTTCAGCAAGAGTTTGGAGCAGTTCAACCAAGCAATTCTCAGACTGAAATTCCACGGACTTGAAACTTAGCAAAAAACAAATGAAAATCCAAAATAAAAATTAAAAGAAAAACCTGATTTGGGTTTTCCAAAAGCTTCTTGATTCTGATGATTTTGGTCTCTAAATCTTCACAATTGCCCGCAGAATTACAATTCTTACACAAGAGCGGAGCATAGAGCTTCTCAACAATGGCGTCTCTTCGGCTGAGAAGCTCGTTTCCATGATCAAGAATGGCTACAGAAATGGCTGTGTCAATAAATGTCCACAAGTCCACGCTTGAATTCTCCAACATTAAACGGAATTCATCTAATTCCATGTTTACACAACTATGTGGAATTCTTAGTCCAAGTAAGAAGATGTCTCTCTTATGAATTACTGACGGTATATATAATTTAAAATTATATTGAAAAAAAAACAGGGCAGAAGAGAGAGAAGGCAGAGTTTAGGACAAAGTGAAATGGGGATACAATGTGGACAAGAGTCAATGGTTTGGTTTTAAGTGCGAAGTTAAAGTGTTTTTGTAGCTTTGGAACACATTCTATGTTTTTGTTTTGTCGTTATTCTTTTTATACTTTGGAAATGGCGTTGCTACCCCATTTATATTTGTTTGTAGCCTTCTTGGGTTAGCTTCTAGCGTAATATATTTATTAGGTGCCTATCTTCAGTCTAGCATTTTATCAAACACCTTTCTGTAATTTGTTTCATTGAACTGAATGTTTTTTTTGTTGGAAAGCAGTCGTTTGAGTTCAAGTACTGATTTAAAATGACAAAAACAGGAAAGCTCGAATCCACTAGTTTGCCTATTAGTTTGGTTTTCAATGAGACCAACAATTGAATAATTTAAGTGTTGAGCAGTACCAAAACAGTATATTTGGAGTGCAAATTCAATGACGGGACCTATGAAACAGACGTAGAGGTAAAACTTGATGCTTAAGTTATCCCCAAGAGAACTAGTTTTAAGTATTTTGGGTCTATTATCCAAGGTAACGGGGAGATTGACAAAGATGTCGCACATCGCATGGGAGCGGGATGGATGAAATGGAGGCTCGCTTCCGATGTTTTATGTGATAAGAATGTGCCGCCAAGACTTAAGGGTAAGTTTTATAGAGTGTTGGTTCGATCGACTATGCTGTATGGGGTTGAGTGTTGGCCAGTCAAGAACTCCCACGTGCAGAAGATGAAAGTAGCAGAGATGATGATATTGAGATAGATGTGTGGGTGTACCAGGAGAGATAAGATTAAGAATGAAGCTATCCGGGACAGAGTGGGAGTTGCCTCCGTGGAGGACAAGATGCGGGAGTCGAGGTTGAGATGGTTCGGATATGTTAAGAGGAGAAGCATTGATGACATATTCAATGACATATTTCTATGCTTAATGACATATTCAATGACATATTTTTATTCACTTTTCATGCCTATATAAAGGCATTGTAATAGATAGGAAAAACATACAATTGAAGAAGAAATAAGAATCTCTCTTCCTCTCTTTCTCTCTATATCTCTTAGCTTGTTTTTCCTTGTTCGATATTGTTATTTTGAGTTATATTTATAACACGTTATCAGCACGATTGTCACCTTCATTTTTACAATCACATCCTAGTTGTGTTCGATTCTCCTTCAGGTATATCACTATATATTCTTTTAGTTTATGGTAATATATATGCACCAATATGCTATTTATTAACAAATTCATATACTGTTAAGCATTTATTTTAGTTGATCATGTAACTGAAGTTCTTTTACCTTGCTTATTGTTAAAGAAAATATAAGATATAGATCTTAAGTGCGTTAAACTAACAAAA